CCTGCTGAATTAGAAGTTTTATTGCATGGTAGCCTTCTCAGCAGCACTGAAGATGATAATTGAGGCGACGTTCTCGCAGAGCATTTTTCATTTGTTAAATTGTTTTCTAGTACCGCTTCTGCTAAGGGGTAATTCTGCAAAAGAACATGTGTAGGCTCATTGCTTTCCTTAATAGAAAACAGTGAAGAACGTGACCTGAGCAGAGCTGCAGAAGAGATATTACGTTATCTTTTGTTCAAGCTTACAATATGGTTCAAGCCCCTTATACTAGCTAAGCTACAATAAATACTTGACCTATGAGTGCTAGAAGGGAATTCATCCTTATTTCCTCTCCCCGATTACATAAATCAGAATGACAAGCTATTTAATCTGGGTAGTAGTTAACAGTCTCTGATCGCAGCTGTTAATATTACCCAAAGGAATACCAGCTACTAGTCAAGACATCTGTGGTAACACCTTGCTAATGAGAACCACATTTGAGCATACTCAGACTAACAGTTTGATTCCCATAAACATGTTCTAATTTAAAAAAAAAAATAGATTTTGCTTTTATAATGGCAGGGTCAGTAAGAGGGTCCAACTATATAAGAATCCTGTAAATGTTTGGAAACTTGTTTGGACTGCCTCAAAACACCCTGGAATTGGCCTTCAGCTGTCCCTCGCAGGCAGCTGAGACTACTTCTTATGTCTGATAAGCAACTGCTTTCAGGCTGGGTTCTTTAATTAAAACTTTCAAAGCGCTTTACATTGCAACATATAGCCTGCACAGAAGCCTCATCTCTGAAAGTGATGATGACCCTCAGAACAACCCTTGGATGCACTAGGGAATCAAAACCAGTTTTTTTCTCTCTACTTTTTTTCCCTGCCCTTCCTTCTCCCTGTTGTACTTCAGGACCATCTTCCCTGCTGATGCTTGGAGACCTCCAGCCTTTCCCTCTGGAAAGGGCCTTTATGCTACACTGCTAACTTTTGTATCTGAGATAGATGGAACATAATCATCTGGAGGGATCGCTCATCATAGCAATTGCCAGGGCTGTAACACTTCCTCTCTTCAGGGTTTCCTTTTTTAGGGGAAAATGACAGTATTCAACACAAATTTATGACATCATTTTTTTTCTCCGCCCCTGAACCAGAGTCTTCCCTAGGAGCCTATTTAACTCTCTGCTGTTTTCCCGAAAACTTTGTGTCACCTGCCTACAGCAAAAGTGTGCTCTGAAGAAAGAACAAATCCACGGCCATCGCTTGGTGCCTCGGGTGATGTCGGTTGGTTCTGCCTTCGAAAAGCAAGTTTGGGAATTCTCTCTGTGCAGCCGGACTCTGGGATGCAGATACTTTCAATGTTTGGTGTTCCCTACATGTGCATGTTTCTATTTCTCAATGCATTTGGTTGCCTTTGGACTTCATGAGGTATGGGTTTATCTGATGAAAAAAGGCATTTTCTAAAGGAAACTAGAGAGCGTAGTGCTATGCTTTAAACCTGCCATGCAGAAGCCACTCTTCACTATATAATTTAATAACTTCCCGTTAAATTGTTGCTAATTTATTGAAAAATTATCCCAGAGAGCACTGAGGAAGTGTAAAACATTAAACCTTGCTGTCTTTCCGTTCTTCCTAGGGGCCTGGATTGATTTAGCTGAAGCTAAATAAGAAAGGGTGGCAGCATGACTGGCTAACCAAAACGATTATTTTGGATTGCACCATTAAGAGATGGCAAATTACCCTTTTTCACAAGGCTTGCCAAATCTGCGTAGTTTTCAGATTGTATTGCACAATTCTGTGTAGAGCTATGTACACAGCCATTGACAGCTATGTCTTGATTTTTTTAGTACACAGCAAAGTACTCTGAAAGTTGTTCTTGTTCTCTCTTTCTGTATGTGTGTCTGTGTATATATGTATTTAACATATCATTATTGAAATATAAGTAGTTGAATTAAAGTCTGTTTATTCTGGAGCAGAAACAACTACAGAAACTTGATTATATTTTATTCAGTTACGGGACAGCTGGATTTACTTAGACATGGGAGAAGTAAGCGTGTACTACCAAGTGAAAGACAACAGCACAGGAAACCAGTTACTAACTGGAGAGCATCCAAAGTAATTGAAATAAAGTTCTAAGCTTATATTCATTTGCCAGTATTTTTGATTGCAAAATGTAATCTCAGAAAAGCCTCAAAGGCTAGAATTTGGCAAGATACTGTTGCCACTCCATAGCAGTACTAATGGCCTAATTCAGACAAATTGAGAGCTGTCTCCCTCAGGCAGGCTTTGGGAAAGCACCTCTGTCCCCATGACACTGACTTTATTAGCTCGGAGGACCAGGTGCTGATTGCCTAAAACTTCAGAGTCCCATTTGATAGCCACATAATTAAAATCAAAAGTAGAAGTGGCTTCAGAAACTTTAATTGATGAGAATGCTGTGTTGCCCGTTACGGGTAGTGATTATTCTCTGAGTTATCTGAATACCTAAGTCCAATACCTTTTTCTCCCAAAGATTGTCTTTTTTACATCTGTGCAAACCTTTTTACAGGAGCTGATGTACTGAATAATTATTTTATAAAATGTAATGGGGGGGGGCACTGTTGATGGCCAAAGGAAGATGCCTGAAGAAAAGGTTAATTGCAATGGAGAGCAGGACAGTGTCAGAGGGTATCTGAAATAAAGATGAAATGTAGGCATTCAAATTTAAGTCAAAACATGAATCTTAAATTTTGTAGAACTACCTCTGGAGATGTGGACAAGAAATTAAAGAAATTTCTGAACAAGAAAGGGCTCTGCTATGGCTTGGGGGTTATTTGGCACGCAGATCAATCCGTAGCAGAAAACAGCAATGTTACCGAAAACAGGTTTCCACACTGGTTTCCTGTGAACTGTTGTTAAATGGTATTATAAACAGTTTAAATATTACAACTGTGACTCAGTTATTTTCAATACGGGGGGATACCTTATTAGGATTTGCTCCTACCAAACCTGCTCTGCTTACCATGACAGTTAGCTAAATATAGATTATAGAAGAGAGGTGCTAGCCCAACTTCAAGTACACACTTAGACAAATACTATAAATAGGCTGATGTTTTGTAAACTAGTACTTGACAGAGGCTCAGAACCGATGCTCTCCTGTGGGAATTTTCTGTGTTCCCTCTGTGGCTTTTATGGGACCAGTAGCTGCTCTTAGTTAGAAGTCTGAGCTCTCTTTTTGTTACTATTAATTTCAAGTCCAATAGCAGCAACCGGCTGACAAAGCTTGCTAGCGCCGAGCTTTCAGGCACGCTGCCCGGTGTCGTTTTGCCAATACATTGATCTGTGCCACCCTGCTATCTCTGACTTTTCCAGGGTACGGTTAATTTTAAACAAGGTTCTAGTGCTGGTTTAGTACGTAGCACGCTTAGGCCAGATCTGTTTTAAATCGAGTTATATTTGCATTAAGCTATAGCCAGACATGCAAAGGTAATTAACTCTGCCATTAAAACTAGTATGTTTATATAGACAACCTTTAGCCAGCCTTCTCACTGATTGCACCTTGTTTCTCTTATTCTGTAAGTTACTCCTGCCAAAATAATTGCAGTTCCTATAACAGAATGAGCAGAAATGGAATCGGGGGAAAAAGCCCAAAAAGGTCTTGCTCTGTGTCATCTCTGTAAGTATCACAAATGAGGCCGTTTTCCTGAGTCGGGGTAAGAATTCACAAACCCTCTCTGAGACGATATCACTGCTATGAAATTTATAAGTAGGTGTCTGTGGCAAGGGATGGTGTTGTCACCAAGACCTATAGTTTGAGATTGAAATTCCCCGTTGATGAGATCATCTGTGCTATCAGCTTCCCGAGCCAGCGCTGCCGCAGCATCGTCCTTTATCTTTACTTGCAGCCTGATCCTGGCTCTGCTGTAGTTATGTCTGGCTAAACTTTCATCCACGTTGGTTCCAGAAAATTTACTCCCTTTGTCTCCCAAGGAGGGAGGAGGCTTGAAATAGGCTCCAGTTATTTGGCTGCATCCATGAAAATTGGCCTTATCCATCTTGGAAATGTCTTGTCTCTTTCCCAGGCTTTCTCTCTGCAACTGGGAAGTGTTAGGCTGTTACATCTCTTGAAAATGAGATCTTGGCTAGCTCTTTTTTTCTTTACCTGTTCCTTTTATTGGAACGGAAAATTTACGTTCTAACTCTGCTTGAGCTCAGTGTGTCCGTGAGGCCCTGTTCCCTACCGGAATGACGATGAAAGAAGATTTTCATTCTTGTTTTCTTGTTGTCCCTTCTGTTGTATCTTCTATATTTTGTTTGAATGCAATAAGTTCTATCTACAACCATGATTATATTGTCTAAGCCTGGTGCAACTTGCTTGCACGCAGCTTTATGGTACTTAGTAAAACCACGGGAGAAAAGTGAATTATGCCTTACCAGTGACTCTAAAAACATCCTTGAAAAGAATAGCAAGGAAACAGAAAAGAACCAAACGTCTAGCCGCTGGGAGGGAGGAGGTTTTGGTTCCATCCTGCAGGGCGTTTAAAATGACCTTCCCCGGGTCAGCTGGGGCAGCAGTTTCATTTGTTGGGAATCAAAGGTAGAACTAACCGTGACTTTGCTAGGAAGGCTGTCTATAAAAAAAGGCGCTCTTTGCTGCTTTACTTGAAGCCTGTCACATCTTACGTGAAGCAGACAGAGAGGATGTTTCATACCATTTAGGAAGTGGCGGCAGGCCGTCTGAATTGGTAGACGTATGAAGGTTTCGACAGCCTATGTGCAACACAGGCTCTGCAGCTAGTAGGGTGAAGGCTGAGGCAGGTGAACCAGTCTGTATTTCACCAACGACAAAGTGTGGCTCTACTCCCTTGTCACTCGCTTGTCTTGCCCATTTTGCTACCTTCTGTCCGCTCCTGAGATTTTTTTTTTCTTTTTCGCCCAGCAGAACACGCTGTGATTACGACAGCCGCCGACGCGGCATCCCCGGCTCCACTGCCTGCCGCCTCCTACACCTTCAGCGCGGCTTCCCCGCGGCTCCGGCCAACCCTTGGATCCAGAGCGTGGATAAGCACCACGCTGCGAGCCGGGACGCCCGGTCTGGTGGGACTCCCTCCTCGCAGGAGTCTGGCTAAAGGGTCTGTGTCTCAGGCAGCAACCCTGCCCAGCCCAGGACCCCCGCACGCGTGCACCACCCACCCATGACCCCGATGCACAGGCTGCCTGCTTCTCCCATCCCAAACTCCGGCACGTGGAGCCTGGGGTACGGGCAGGTGGGAGAAGCTGAAACCCCCGCCTGAGACAGCACTCGGTTGCCGTTCTCCTTTCTGCGGGCAGCGGGATGCACGGCACTGCAAGCCACGAGGATGTATCTGTCTGTAACCGCTCGGGGCAAATAGTCTTAAAAAAGCGAGGATGTGAATTTAAATGGCGTTAGTCAAAATGGACTAAACCTTGCACAGAAGGCCTCCTTCAGCATTGACTTCATGTGAGTCCGTGTTTTCCCATGCAAAGGAATCCTTTATGCTTCCCTTTGCCTGCAAACGGCACTTCAAGCTTACAAAATTTACCGTGGACATCCGATAAAAGCAGAAATATGGGCAAATGAATGAGATCTAAAAAACAGTGGTTTAGTATTTGAATTTGCTCCTCTCTTTTGGTTATTTCACCTTATTATTTATGTAATTTTAAAGATGACATAGTAGAATACAGGGTTGGCTTTCCTCTAGAATAGCAATTTTGTTGTAGATTTGCTACCAGTGCACGTGCCCTCTCTCTCCTGGCTAACTCGGGTTTTCAACTCGTCATCTAATTTTTCTATCCCTTTTAGCATGTAATCTTTTCTGTTACCAAGGTCGTGGGGAAGTTTTAATGTATTTCAGTGCAGCTTTTCTTACACGTGCATTTTAAGCGTCATAAAAAAATGATGGATTGCAGCCTTGCCATTAAGCTTAATACCAACTTCTGGTACAGATGGTGGTCCACCAAGATTAAAATCACCACGGGAAGAAAATACAACCAGACAGTCAGCAGGTATCTCTTCGGCCTCTAGACAGAGCGCTTAAGCCCAGGGTTTCTCTAGCTCTGCCACTGTTTCGTGCACAGTAATAACCTCTGGCAAGTTTTTTGATGTTCTCACTGGATTGTGTGTTGAAAACAAAACAGTTCCGCTTAAAAGCGTTCTATGTTGTATTTATAAAATAAGTTGTATTGAAACTGTATGTGTGGTGGCATTGGAGGCTGGCACGTGACAGCGTTGATCTCCCTGCTTAGTTCTGCCAATGCATTGATCTGCGGTACGATTCCTATTTTTATCCCTTCCGTCTGAAGTACAGTCAGTTGCGATCACGTTTCCATTAAAGACTGGGCGGCGAACAGTTTTAATCTGTGACTAACAAAAAATCGTAACATTTTCATTAAATCCACGTACAGTCTCGGCACTGTCACCGGGGCTGGCAGAGCAGTGATCTTCTGTTCCTTGAGCGATGCGTCTGCTGCCGTCAGTGATCTACGCTGACGCGACAGCCAGCTTTTTCCTTGACTCCCAAGTGATGCGTACTCAGCGTCCCAGGCCCGCGTGATCTCTGCGTACATCTATTATTCAGCTGGCAGAGGGAGAGCACCACAACAAAATGGAAAGCCAGAAGGACAAGCAACAGGTCCGAGAAACAGGAATGGGTAACCCCTTGGTGTGGATGAGGCCCGAGGGGAGAGACCTCCCTTCTCTTCGCTCCGGGGGCAGAGACCCCTGCTGCAGATGTAAAAGTCTTAGCACTGCTATTTCCTTTGTAAAGGGCGAAAAACGCGCAGGCGTTTTTGTAAATGTAGGGAGAAAAAAACCTCACCAGAATGAAAATATTAGAACTAGATTACTCACGCAGACTTAATTCCTGCCTGCTCCAGGAATATAGTTTAAATTAACCACCTGATTACGTATTTATCTATGTGTTTATTGCAGGGCTGCTTTGTCATTCTGTGGGAAAGGTGAGTGATGCTCGGCGAGGAAGCGGGGCTGGCGGGCGCAGGCGGCTGCTCTCTGCCAAAGCACCCCCTGCCCCTTGGTGACAAAAAGCGGGGCTCGGGCAGCGAGGGGGGTGCGGAGCTTCGGCTGCTGAGGACGGGACCTGGCTGCAGCTCCGAAGGGCCAGAGCGCTCCTCTGCTACCTCGTCCCAGCGGGGACAAGGGAGAGGTTTGGAGGCTCAGGTAAGCTCAAACATCTGGTTTTAATACACAGGAAGAGAAAAATCAGGTGAACAGGGTTACGGGAAAGGGTAAAGAAAGACAAAGCGTAAGATGATGGGGAATAAGAGGCAGTATTAAAACTGAATAGCAGATGGGAAAAAGCTAGCGGGCAATCAGGCGGCTCTTAGCGTGGTTCGTTAGCCTCTGGCCCGGAGCTGGCGAGGGGTCTGGGCAGAGCGGCTACCGTCTGTCTGCGGCCTGCCCGGGAGGTGCATTAACACGGCAACGCTCAGCACTCAAAAGCTAGGAAAAGCCAGGCGCAAGCTACATGAGTAATCTTAATTTTGCTCTTGTGTATGCGTTTAATGATAGCAACAGGATCAAATACTGCTTTTTTATTTTTTTTCCCCCAGAAGGCCCAAGCTTTCCTTGGTGCAGAGGCTGGATGCTGTGAGCAGCCATCCCACGCACTTAATGAGCGGCAATTAAGTGGTTTATTTTTTCCTTGTGTTCAATGAACAG